AAAAAAAAAAATAATCTTTTGCAGAAACCAGAGTAGCATGACGGTGTATCTGCAACCTCGAAAGTCAAAAAAGTTTAGATACAAGCTTCTGGGTTTGGGCTGCTGCTTTTTCCTGAAAAGATCAGCTTTTTAACTGAGATTGCTGAAACGTGGTCAGCTGGGCTTTCATTCAGCAAAATCCATTCTGCTCAGGATTTTTTTCTGGTTGCAGTTCACCATTAGGTAAACAGCAGGCAATTTTTAAGCTGTGCATGATGCTTCTCTTTGCATATGAGTGTGTGCACGTGTATAAATATACCAGTATTTATGTATGGATGTTAAGCCAGAGCTGGTTTGTGCCTGTTTCCTAAGGCTGATCCCTTATGGCCTCTGATGGAGACCAGTGTGTTCTGACAGGGCTGCTGTGTGCCCAGCTGCAGGAGGAAGGGCCTTCCCCTGGGCAGGAGAGGAAAGGCAGCACTTGCAGCCTGGTGCTTGCTGGCCCTTTCCTGTGCACTGCGAAGCTGTTCTTGTTGCTGTCAAGTCCTTTCAGTGTGTACTTTTTGTGGATTTGAGTGGGACAGGGTGCTGAGCTGTGTCTGGGAAACACAATGGGTTGACAGGAAAGCAGTGCACCTAACATCAGGAGTCTGTGAAAACTTGAAAGAGCTCTAGACAGAAATATTTTGCATTTGACTCTGGACTGTAGCCTTTGAGGCCAAACTCAGCCTTCAGTGTTAAGTGGCTGCTAAGTATTTCCCTTCTTGTCTCAATGCTAACTAACTGCTGGGAGAAGGGTGCATATTCCAGGAGGGCTGGGGAGGGCCGATAGGATAAAGGGGAGACAGCAGAGCATCCTCTTTTTTTCAGTTCAGGAGCACAGCTTTGTGGCCAGGTACCTCAATCCACAAACTTGCAAGAGGAAAAGCCTTGTGTTAAACTTATAATGTGCAACTTTTCATTTACATGAGCCACTTTCACAGGTTCTCTTCCAAAGCAGATCCTGCTGGAGCACAGTCTCCTTCGGGGTGGGCGCAGGCCTGTGGCGGGGCCTGCACTGGGCCTTGGGCCAAGGCCTGTGTGAATTAGCACTGAGCTGTTACCAACAGGCCCTCTCCAACCAACTGTTTTGTTTTGCCAAATGTCATTTTTGCTTTTTGAGAGCACAGGGAAGATTTGGGGGTGATACAATTTGGGGCTTAGCATGGGGTTTCAGCCCTACAGAGGTCTGCCTGTTGCCGGGCCCTTGCGTGAGTCCCATGTTAGGAACATCTGCATGGCAACGCACATGTAACATGCCTGGAAATACTAAACAGCTTTTCCTGGAAAAAAGCAATCAAACCCAACAGTAAAAAAGCGGAGGGAGCCATTTCCCACCATCAAAAGAAAATGAATGCTGAGCCTATATTTAAGGGGCAGATTCATGGATTTTGAAGCAGTCTGGAGAATCTCAGCCTGCTTCATGTTTTTAATGAAGTATGAAAATAAGTAGTTATCAGTGTAGGGCTATTTATTTATTTTAGTTTGGGTCCTGTTAATGCTGCACTGTCTTTCCACATTTTCAGTATTCATCCGGTGTAGATGAATCTTTATCCTTCATAAAGAGTTGCCAAGATGCTCTGGGACTGTGGCCTTCGTGTGCTGGGTGGGAATCCACTAAATGAGTCACATTTAAATGGCAGTAAGACTGTTTTCATGTTTCAGAGGGGAGTATCTCTTAAATGCAGTTTGCACTTCTCCACGTTATTTTCTCACTTATGCAAACTCAGACAACGCTGATTCACTTAAGCCTAGTTTTATTAAAGCTGATGTGTTAACACTTTCCCACAACCGTGTGCACAGAGGGAAGCCTGCAGGGTTTGGATCGCTGGCTACTGCACCTGAGTGCTAATACAGACAAGCAATGGTCCAAGGCTGGCTCTTTCAAAAGATCATTATTACTAATCCTGATTTCAGTTGCATTTTAGCAGTCTCCCAGACTCTCAGGGCAGAGTGCTGTCCTGGAAGTTCTGCCTGGGCAGAGCTGGTGCATCCTGTGCAGCCACTTCCAGACTGAGATCCTGATAGCCTCCTGCTAGCTGACATGTGTTATCTGTTCTCCTGCAGTCTACGAGACCCAGACACCAGCCAGAGATGGCAAGATGATCAGCCCATCTCCCAGTTCAGGAAGTAGGAATGGGGGAGGGTGTGAGGACAGAGCAGTTCCCTACAGGGTCCCACTGTTAAGGGTTAAAACTTCACTTGGGGAGAAATGCCAGAAAACATTTGCCTTACTACAAAAACCCAGAGGGGAATGTTTCTTTCTAATCACCTCCTCAAAGAGATGCAAAGCAAAAGCTCTTGGCCTCTGCTCTTGTCATCACACATCCCCTCCCTCCTGCCTGCCCTACGTCCCCTTCAGGGTAGGGAGAGCCTACTGTTAGAGCTGGGCACAGGAGGATTTTTACCTGCTGCTGTAAATGAGCTTGGAGCAGAACTGTGTATGTCACTGACTTACATGTCAGATCCACTATCTCTCCCATCCCTTTCCACCCCCCAGCCTCCAATTTGCCAGTGAATCATTAGACACCGGCACATTCAGCTCTGACTTCCCAGCAAACTGCCTGAGGGTGCTCCATGGCCAGACAGACAAGAGGGTAATGTGCTAGATTCCCCCTTTGCTAGCGATGAATTTAATGGCGATTGCTCCTGTTAGCCATGCTTTCCAGTAATAGTAACAAATTCACTTTTTTTTTCACTTTCAAAACCCTCCCATTGCAACTAGAATGGCTGGGAGAAAGCTAGTTGTTAACTAGTCATGGGTAATTAATTACTCCACCTTCCCCATCAATCAGCTGGGAAAAGCCAAAAGGATTTGAGTACTTGCAGCAGATGTGTGTTCTCTAGACATGCTGATACCAGTGTGCAAATGAAGTGGCAGCAGGAGACTATCACATACCCTTTTGAGGAAGAAGCAGTAAGTCATGATACACATCCCACGCTCTTGTCAGGTGAAGTCTGAAATTCCCAGTGCTGCTGCTGCTGTTGTGCAGTTTCTGACTGGGGGATGTTGATCCATCTTGCTGCTAGCTTGAATCTGACCCAATTTCTGTTCTATTTTTCCTTTTCCTATTCTGATTATTGTTGTCTTTGCTGCTTTCTATGATTAGGATACTAGCAGTAGAAACACAAGACATGGTGGGGGCACAGATTTGATGCTGGCTTTCCTTTTGAGCAGAGCAGAAAATAATTTCTGCATCCAGTTTTGATTGTGTCTGGTAGTGGCTGTGCAAGTGCAAGCAGAGGAGACCCCTCTGGTACAGAGACCCCCCCCTCTAGTGCTGGATGTCCCCGAGTTAGCTGAAGGAGAAGAGCCTGTGGTCTTCTGCATTATCCAGTAGTTTTAAGGAGATGTCAGGAAGGCTGGATGTGGTTCTTCAAAGGTGCCAAGAGCCAATGGACCATCTTCTCCTATAAAATCATCCTCAGGGCTTCTTGAACTCTCCAATCCCATTCTTTTAAATGTACTTCCTTGCCACACTAAGCATTGGCTTTCCTCTCCCTGCCTGGTACTGGGATGCCTAAAATTCAGTATTGAAAAAGAGCCAGTCCCTCCTCTGGTTGAACTCCTTTATCCTCTTTGCACGTCCTTGCATTGCCTGCTCCAAAAGGCAGCAAAAACAGAAGAGATGTTGTTTGTTTATAAAAACTGACTAAATAAATTCAGAATATGTTTTGCATGTCAGACTGAAAATCAGATGTCCCAGTAACATCACTGACAAAATAAAAATATATTTATTTTATTGGGAGCAAAACTAGACCACGAATCAACTACAGCCTTATAGCAATGTTCTTGGAAATGAACAGAGCTTCTAAATTTGCTGTGCGGGATCCAACACTGGCCCATTGAGACCAATATCCTGCTTTTGACCTCCTCCTTTTGAACATCTTTGACCTTTAAATGTTAGTATAGCCCTTTCTGTACATGAATGCATAGAAGTCCCTTCTTCACCAAGGTGCAGTGGCTGTTTTGTGCCCTGAAGCATGAGACTTGATTGCTGTCTCTTAGCACTTGTAAGCACTTGTAAGTACAAAAGCTAATGGTCACACTTGCAGAATAAACTAATTAAGGGAAAATGCTCAAGTCCTTGGGTTTCTGCTCAGCCTTCCGTTCAGTATAAGACTCTTGGATCACTTGCCCTAGCCCTGGAAGGTGCCAGCCGAAGGAGTTTGGTGCCAGTACGATGATGTGCCAGCATGGCTGTGTCATGAAACTATTGCAGCTTTCACTCATGAAGCTCAGCTGCAAGATGCTGCGTGTAGAGCAGCCTCAGTCCTGAGCTTCAGAGCAGCTGTGGTGCTGATGAGGACCCTGCTGTAGAAGAACAGTGCAGTAGCAAAATTAACTGTGCAGTTTAGGGCTGTGAATGCAGAGATTGGGTAGGTAAGAAATGTTGTATTATCAAATGCGCTTTTGTTAGCAGAAAATAACATCTGTTGGTGAATGAATGCATTGCTGCAGCATCCTAGTTGTGAGGACAAACTTTACCACAGACTGCTAATCACCCACTTGGGAAGGATCAAGCTCGATACGGTCCTGATTCTGATACCAGAAATCAAGAGTAAAATGGTTCTGTGCTCTGGAGGTGAAAGTCATACCGAATCTGTGGAATAGCCAGAAGGAAATTTTTTCTGTTTGCTGTTTAAGGGACTTTTGTATTTTGTAGGTAAGTCTTCAGCTGATGTTTTGGGTCTTGTCTCTATTTGTTTAAAAGTGCGTTAGCAGTAAATCAAGGTGCATTTCCCCTGTAGGGTTTCCTGTATGTCAAAGCCATGTTAATTCTCTTTGATTTTCTTCCCTTAGCCCCAGCCATTGCTGCAGATCCTTCCTCTCTTTGTCCCTTTGGACATCAAAGGATCGCAAGGGGACAGCCCTGGCGAGAAGCTCCTCCCTGCTCATTAGCCTCCATAAAACAGGAACTCACCTTGGCTTGCTGCGCTTGGAGTCCCATCCTCATCCTGGTCACTCTTGACACTGGATCTCAGAAGGAAGGGCTTTTGCTTTCTTCAGGAAATCAGACCTGCTTTTGAACTGGACTATTTTGGCTCCCCTTCTAAGAACTCTGGTGGCTCTCTTGGCCGTGCAAGCTCCTAGACTCCACGGTACATGGAAAAATGCAAGCTTTACCAGGTAAGTAAAGGACTCCCTCCTTTTCCTTATTGCGTGGGAAATCCTAGGCTTATGCCAAGAGCGCGTAATCATTTTAGAGAGAAAACAAGTGCTCCTGAAGGGTTACCAGCATTTCTCATCGTGCGTGTGTGTGGCTAGAGAGGATTTCTAATTTTTTTTTTGTAGGAATAGATGAGAAATTTTGGGTTTGAGCGTTCTTTGCGAGTCTTGGAAGATCTTATGTGAAGTAGCAAAGGTTTCATCGCAATTGTGCCCAAAACTCCCTTATCCGTATCACCTTGTGCAGTGTGATCCTTCACTGGAGGCTGGAGATGTTATTAATTGTCTGCAAAGTACCCTGAGCTCCTTCAGGTTGAAGGCCGCAGAAGGATTGGAAATATTTGTTATACTACTGCTAAGAGTTCTGATACAAGCTGTGGTTTTGTTTGCTTGTTTTTCTCTGCCCTTTGAAAGTATAGTACCAGGTTCATGCCCAAACACGGGATTTTTTGTGATTTCCTTAGGGTTTTATTTATGTTTTTTCTTCGTCAGTCCGACTCGTAACAGGCTGTTAACCTCTTCTGCGTGGGGCGTGATCAGATTGGGCACAATGACAGATATTCATTGGGAAGCTAAGGGCCAATCCAGGGGCACTGCGTTTGTCAAGATGACTGAAACCCAAATTTAGTCTTGGGTTTTACTCTGTATCAGCAGGAAGCAACTATTTACCTAGTTTAGGTGTGCCGTTTGTATGTACACGTTTGAGGTGTCTGGGTATTCTCAGCTTCCTTTCTCTACCTCTGCAACTTACTGTATCATTCATAAGCAAAGTACACGTGCAATGACTCAGTTTCCACCTTCACTGTTGTTTTGGGTTTTTATAAAGTAATCCATACGGTGCTGATCTGATCCATACTGATTTCGGCCACTCCAAGAGAATTTTGAGTCGAAAAGCAAAAGAGCAACAGCAAAAAAAAAATATAGACCGAATTATAGTATTTTATAATGTTAAAGATTCAAACTAGTGTAGAAGTCACCTTGTTTTCTTATCGACTTGTTTCTGGTGTATGACCCCACACAGCAGAAATATTCCAGGTGACGACTGGGTGCGTTTGAGAGGTGAAGCCAACTGCATTTGTAGAAACACCGTACTTTTGTTATTGCCAAAAACCTTTCTGGTTCAGAGAAGTGAGGTTCCCTTCAGACAGCTGACGTGTTTCTACTGACATTTATAAAATCAGAGAATGCGGGGTTTTTTCGGCTGTTGGCAAGATTGGTTTCTCAGGTAGCTTTATACATTGAGGTACATTTCTCCCCTGTGGACACTGGATAGCTGTTAGTGTTGGACTTCGTCAGAAGATACCAGCAACAAATGTAGTAATAACTGATTTTAGTGACGGTAGGAAGCATACCTTTTGCCTTATTGGAGATTTCCCAGTATTGCAAACCCAATCCAATGCTTTTTTGGGAAGGCTGCAATAAATTTTCTGACATGATAACATTGTCTCAGTAATTGGCAATTACTGAGAGACTGGTTTAGGTGAGTGGATTGTCCTCCAGCTTCTTCTGTCCAAAGAACCTACCCCCCACGAGCATTACTGCATTAACTCTCGTTTCTCTTTCTCTTCTTTCCATCTTCAAGATGGGAAAAAGATGGGTACAGCCTATTCTAGATACAGAAACTGATGGACAAACTGCTCGCGTGTATAAGAACTTTAAAATCAAGCATGGACTAGATTGAAGATCTCTTAATTTTCAGTGCCTTTATCGTAGCACCAGTGCTGTGGTTCCAACGTGAGGGCATCTTTGTGGGGGAGATGCGTGCATGAGCCTTGGCATTAGTTCTATAGGCACAGAATAGGAGTGAATTTGAAGTGCCGTGTAAGCCAGCCTTTGGCTCTGCAGAGAAAACCCAAAGCGGATCCTACAGATGGATCCACCGCTGCAGAACCCTGCTGAAGCCGATTGCCCGAGTGTGTAGTCAGCTGTGTGGATCCATTAGCAAGCTCACACCATCGCTGGGGTCACGATCCCCATGCAAACCGTTAATGTGCCAGTTTTCAGCCTATCTGTGCACACACAGCCTGCGGTGTGGAAGACATTAACTACATTTTAAAATCTTTGCTGCAATGTTTATTGTATGCGCAGCTCTTTTTCCCTGTCTCTTGTAGCATCTGACTCATACAGGGGCTTTGTGGACTCGTTTTGGTAAAAAGCAGATTATGACATCTGCCTTTGATTTTTTTTAATTCAGTATTGAACTCATTTCACTTCAGTCCCTCTTGATTTCATTGGAAGTCTCCCCTCAATAAGGGCTCCTGAGATCTGCGCCTTGTTGTCGTCTCATTTAATGGCATTGGAATTTGCTTACAAAAATGTTAATTGTAAAATTCATTTGGGGAAGGAGTGAGCATCTGTCTAGCTAATCAAAATCTGTTTGCATGTATTTGTGACTGGATGACTCCTGTGGGAAATCAGCCCAATTTTATTGTAACTCCTTTTGATACATGTGCCGCGCCGAGCTACCGAATGCATCGTCTCATGGCAGCTTTCATGTCTTTGCAAGAGGATATGGGGGAAGCTTTAGTAAGAAGATGTTAACAGGCTAATCTTAGTGAGCAAACTAGGTGTTACTTCTTAGCCAGTTCATTAATGTTGGATCAAAGCAGAAAAAAGGGTAGGGGATATTTTCTTAAAATGCCTTAAGAACTTTACAAACTGACAGAATTATCTTTAAATGTATTTTACTTCCTAATACTGTGAGAAGAACCTCTTCGACTCTCATTGGGATGCTTTTGTGTAAAGATGTTGCTTTCTGAAAAAAGCTAATTTGTCTGGAAGTAGCTGTCTACTTTTCATGCTTTTTCTTTTGAAGACGTTACTCAGGAAAGCTGTAAGAAACTTAATTCCCTTATTTCTCATATGCTCTGAATAACATCTGATGCAGACCAAGAGGCAGAAAAATCTCCCTTTTAAACAAATAGCCATGCCTGGCTGATGCTGCATCACCCAGCAGAAGTGTCCTGCTGGCACCGAACTGGGGACAGCGCTGCTGCTGCGAGTGCTGCGAGTCGAGCAGCCTTATCCGTACCTCCTTCAGACTGCAGGGCAGTCAGTGTTAGTATGAAATCAGTCCACCAGTAACAGTATTTCTGATCTAAAGTGGAAATGTTTTGGGTTTTTTTTTGCCTGGGCTTTTCAGCATGGCTGCAGCAATCTTGCATGTGTTAGAATATAGTACAGATCTCCTATAGGAGGTTTTTAATCCAAACTTTACAGAGGAGGTGGCTGCCATCAACACCAAAGACAGTTTCTCCAGCAGTACCCCTTTCCTTGTCCCCAGGATGGTAGTTAGTCCTCTGTCTGTAGCAGGAAGTGCAGGCATATTGCCGACAGCTCCTCTGATGTGCTGTGGTGTGCTGCTGAAGAGCACCTTCCACCGCCATCACGGGCTCCTCAGTGGTCTCCGTCTCCAAGTCCAGTTCAGACCAGCTGTCCTGTTCTAGGAATATTGTGTGGTCCTGCTCTGTCACCTCCTTTTTTTTGCTTCCACTTACATTTGGATCTCCTATCTATCCCTTCTTTGTCCTCTGCAGAGATTTTTCACCTCTGCTACCACCTACCTGTCATTTTCTCCTGTTATCCACCAGTGCACTGAAAATCTTTCCAATCCTTTCAGCTTTAATTTTATTCCCTTGCTAAAGTGTTTTGTGTAACCCTGCTCATACCGGAATAGGAATGAAAGTGGATTGTGGCTCCCTGCCAGTCTGAGTTTTGGAACAAAGGAAGTCAGGTTGAGTTTGTACGACACGCAGATCTCTACAAAAGAACTTAGCAGCTAAAAAGAAATGTGTTGGAAAAGCCTTTATGCCTTCTGAGCTGACTAAGCCGTTGAAGGAAAATAATGGATTTTCTTTAGGAGGTTTATTGTGACGCAGACTCCCCAGTTCTCAGCAGCACCTGGGACCTTCGTGGGTGAAATCACAGCATTCAGCTGCCTGAGCTGAACCAGCGCTGTGCACTGCACGGTGCTTTGGGGCTCAGATGGACCATGGCCAGACAGGAGGAGTGAACAGCCAGATGTACAGACCCCATCTGTTACTGCGGCGTGTGAAATTCAGTAGCTCCCTGTACAGGAGGGAGCTGGCACTGGAGGGTACTGGGAGGGCTGATACGGGTGCTGCATCTCGGGGACCGGTCCCTGAGCAGGAGAGGCTGCTTCACGCCGGCTGTGCCCTCCTGCCTGTCTGAAGTTACCACTTTCCCTCTCTCCCGGTAGACGTGAAAGCGCCGTGTGAGGCCCTTCCTTCCCCCAGCCTGGAGCCCTACCCGCAGAGCTCCATCGTGGTCACCCTGGAGGACATCGGTCTCTGGATGAAGTTTCATCAGATAGGAACTGAGATGATCATCACCAAATCTGGCAGGTGAGGGGTGCAGAACAGCTGCCCACACCACACTCCAAGCTGCTAACAAAATCTGTGAATGCTCATTTTTTGAATGGTGGCCCTTAAACTGTTTTTTTTAGCCAATTATGCACACCTCCCTGCCTTAGCAGAAGAATTACACTTTCAGGATGTTGAAGTGCAAACTGTGAAGTGCAAGAGGTCACTGTGGGGCTGATGTGCTGAGAAAACTTCTGTACTCTTATCTCAGCACTTAACACCGATGTTCTTCCTGTTGCTGCAAGGTTGGTCTGGAAGGTGCCCTGGGTTTCTTTTGCCTCCCTCACAGGCAGCAGCAGTGGAGCAGTAAATACCCAGGTTTGACTCTGCATTTGCAGACAAGAACATGGCATAGAATAGTAGCAATCTGCGTGCAGACTACTCTAAAGTTTGAGTGAGTCATGCATTGTGGAGCTTGCAATGAAAGAATATGAAATTGTAACGTATTATGTCAAAGCTGCTGTGAGCTGAAATAATCCCTCTGGGTAGAGAGGTAGGTGTCAGAGCTTTTTTGCAGAGTCAGGAGATGAAAGTGGCAGCGGGGAGTACTGGAATGGAAAGTTAGATGTTCTCTTAGATGAGAGCACGTTTTCTACCCATGCTAGAAAATGCTCTAATCTGTCCTCCCGGTCTGTGCTAGCTGCAGAAGGCTAGGAACTACATGCAAATTCCAAATTACTGTTATTTTTTTAAGTTTCCCACTGTTGTGTTACAGGATTCAGAAGAACAAAAGCAATAACAGTGTCAGGCCATCAGTGACTGCTGCCCTGTTAGTGCCTGTTCTACCTAAGCCCATAGGATTAGCCAGTACATCACTAAAATGGTAAAAATGTTCAATAGCTGGCCTGTAGCAATACTGCAACCAGAACTTTGCACAATAGTGAGTAAACATGACCTGATGCTTGATCATTAGACAATGTCCACTTCAAGGAGAAATCCTTATGTTGAATATTTAATTTCTTCTCCAGACGAATGTTTCCACAGTGCAAAATCAAAGTGTCTGGCTTAATCCCATACGCCAAGTACCTGATGCTGGTAGATTTTGTGCCAATGGACAACTTCAGGTACAAGGTAAGTACTTTAAATAATAGAAGTTATGTGCTCCTTCTGTCTTTCTTTGGAACAGATTAATCTTTATGCTTCACTGGCAAGGCTGATAAATAAATTGTCTTTGGACAAAGTTCAGAAGTAATTGGTGAATTTTATCCCTCTCTGGAGTTATTTGTCAGTTTTGCTTGGGGAGCAGCTGGAAAGGTAACTAATTTTCATTGTAAGAGCTACAGGTTTAATCATGATTAATGTCAGACTTCTCTCTGACAGCCTTTGGGAGAAAGGGAGGGAAAATGAAGCCTAAAGCTGGAGCTGTTTTGGTAACATGATCATGGCTTATAATAGAGAACCTGCTACTTGTCAGTCCTGTGCTTCAGAGGAGTCCACTAAATCAACAGTGAAGCAAAGTTGCTGGGTTTTTCCTATAATGAAAGTAATTTATTTTTAAGCTCCAGATTTCCGTCTTTCCCTTCACAGTGGAATAAAGATCAGTGGGAAGTTGCTGGAAAAGCAGAGCCTCAGCTCCCCTGTCGCACCTACGTCCACCCAGATTCCCCAGCTCCTGGCAGCCACTGGATGAAAGAACCCGTCTCCTTCCAAAAACTGAAGCTCACCAACAACACCCTGGATCAACACGGGCATGTAGGTTGTAGCTGGCCTTTGTGCCATGCTCTCTTAGAATTCGTTGCAGAATTGTGTCCTCTTAACTACCTGTGAGGGAAGGCTTTAGTTTGTACTGTATGTAGAGGCATGGTGGAGGCACCAGTCCCAGGCAGGCATCCCTGGTTTGAAATGAATGTCCTGGGTGCCTCCACAGGAGGCTTTGCACAGCATGTTGGCAGTGGTTGCACATGGAAACTTTCTCCCTTGTCTGTCCCTGTGCCAGATCATTCTCCACTCCATGCACCGTTACAAGCCTCGCTTCCACATTGTGCAGGCAGACGACCTCTTCAGTGTCCGCTGGAGCATCTTCCAAGTCTTCAGTTTCCCTGAGACTGTCTTCACTTCTGTTACTGCCTACCAGAATGAGAAGGTACAATGTGCAAGTGCTGTCCTTGGACACTAGTCAACCTGGGCACCTGTGATGGACAGGGGAAGTCAATAGATGCACTATGGTCCCTATGGAAAATACCTACCCGGGGATGAGATGAATCATGCAACTTAATTGTATTAAGTGCACTGTTAACAAAACCCTGAATGCAGTAAAAAGTATGGGCAAAAGTCCAGATATAGATACTGACCCTGTGTATTTCTCTAGTCAGCTGAATCCTACCCAAAGTCACTTCTCTCTGTATGTCAGTTCCGAATCAATAACGGGAGCTGCTGGGAGAGCTCAGGTGCTGTGGCAAGGGCATGTCCAAAACCCTCAGACAAGCCGTTGTGATAAATACTGAGGTGAAGGTCTTGAAACAGTAAAGAACCCAGCCAGTCACCGTGGTACTGAGTCTTGTTTCTTTTCTTTTAAGATTACAAAGCTCAAGATTGACAACAATCCATTTGCTAAAGGTTTCCGTGAGCATGGGAAGAACACTCGAAGGTAAACTGATTTTTCATCTTAATTCATTTATAACTGGAGTTCATTTGTGAATTTTACCCAAGGAGCACAACTATACTAGCTAGCTCTGCAGAGCCTGCTGCATTGCGCACACTGCACGTGTCTGTATCTGGGAATGATGTCCCCCTGTGCAGCCTCCTCCCAAGAGACTTGGGGAGTGGGAGGAGATACAGGGTTTCCTACAGAAGTGTGGGAGGTGTGACAAATTTGAGACCTGCATTCCCTTGCGAGTTGGAGCTAGACTGGAGTCTGATGTGTGAATAGCGGTGATAACAGGAGTCCACAGCAGATCACAGAATCACACAGAATATTAGGAGTTGGAAGGAACCTCGAAAGATCACCCAGTCCAACCCCTGCCAGAGCAGGATCACCCAGACCAGGTCACACAGGAACACGTCCAGGCAGGTTTTGAATGTCTGCAGAGAAGGAGACTCCACAACCTCTCTGGGCAGCCTGGGCCATGCTCTGGCACCCTTACAGTAAAGAAGTTTTTCCTCATATTCAAATTGAACCTCCTATGCTCCAGCTTGCACCCATTGCCCCTTGTCCTGTCATGGCTGTCACTGAGAAGAGCCTGGCTCCTTCCTCCTGACCCTCGCCCTTTACAATTTTATAAACATTAATGAGGTCACCCCTCAGTCTCCTCTTCTCCAAGCTAAAGAGACCCAGCTCCCTCAGCCGCTCCTCAGAAGGGAGATGCTCCACTCCCTCCACCATCTCTGTGGCTCTGCGCTGGACTCTTTGAAGCAATTCCCTGTCCTTCTTGAACTGATCATTGTGTCTCTTTGAGATCAGCTTGATTCTGACATTTGGAAGCTCCCTCATCTCCTTTTCCCGTGTGTGGAAAAGCATCTCTTCCAACAGGAAATTTTGTCTGCGAGAAGGAAGATGGATACCAATACCAGCAAGGTCTTCTGTCTGGTCTGAAGGCAGCCAGTGGATGAGATGTGGGGAAAAAAAAAAAGCTTAAATGCAACCATATATTGGCAATAGAGGAGGAAAAGTGTTTTTTTTCTCAAGCAGAAAATGTGATGAAAATATCTGAGATTCTGTTTTGTGTTATTTTATGCCTGAAAAAAAAATCTCATTTCCTGGTGAAAAAGGCCAAAACTGATTTTTTTTTAACTGAAACTTAGAAAATGTCATAGATTTTCTTTCTCCTCCTAATAGGGTAATTTCTGACTAAGCTTAGACTCATTTTCCGTTTAGCTTTCAAGCGAAAGACCCACCCTGCTATACATGTACCTGTGTGTACAGTGTGTATATCCAACATTGGACTGCACCTACAAACTCAGTGCAAAAAACCTCTGGTGCTGAGTTTCCATGTTAATTGTGCCTTCTGTACAAACATGAAGTGGGCAACCCCTTTACCGATCTATCCCCAGTATCCTGTGGGGTGAGGGCTTTCGCTGGGAGTGTGCACTGGTGGCAGGCAGTGTGGCTAACCCTGTAATTTGCCTGTGGCAAGTGTATTCCCCAAGGGACTGTCAGGGAGCTTTGCTAGGAGAGGTGCAAGTCAGAGAACCTCAGAGAGGTTCATCCCATCTTTTTGTCTTCCACAGCTTGTCCAGAATCCCTTGTGTATTTATCTGGGCAAAAACAAGCTGCTACTTCCATGTCTTGTTTCTTTCCCAGGGAAGGCCGAGCCAAATGCCAGAAACCCAGTCCAGCCAAGGGCCAGAAGAGGAAGCTGCCCGAGGAAAAGGAGTCCAGCGCTGAGGAACGTGGTAATATTGATCACAACAACCCTACAGAGTTGGTTCCAAACTGCCCAGACCATGAGAAGGAGAAGCAGCAGCGACATAGCCCCCTCTCTGGGCAGAGTGGCCTGGGTGGAGTCCCTAAAGAGTGCTGTGTGTGGCTTTGAGCCTCCGACTCTTCTGGCAATGATCCACAGCAGCCTGCTTGCAAGTGGCTTGTTGTTACTGACTGCTCATCAGCGCTTTCACCAGCCTGGCCATGCTTTGTGACTGCGTATGATCACAGGCTGTGCTTTCACAACATGTCAGTAGCAATATGAGCTTGCAGTATCACCCATTGCTTTCTTCTTGGTTCTCATCGATGCGGTTGTGCCAGCAATGCTGTTTGTGCAGCTGGGTTGTGGTGCAGATAGTGGAATTGACATAATTTAAAAAAAAAAGAAAAAGAAAAGAAATCTTTACTCTTTCTGTTAGGTTGTTTTTAAGCTTGATCATTCCTTGCTGCAGTTCATGGTGCTGCTTTCAATAGCACAACTAATGAGAGTACAGGGCAGGCCTGAACACCACAGCGTGAGGGCAGAAAAGTGCTGCAAAAGGCAAGTCCCTTAAGGTAACATGACTGCAGAAGAGGTATTAGTGTGTCTCCTTCCACCGTCCTGCAACTAGTGCAGCTGCCAATAGACCGATGTGAGCTCTGGGTCTCTCTTCCCTCTTCTCATTTTTTTTTTCCATTCTTTCTTTTCCCTGCTGTGAGTCAGATTTTGAGAAAGACGAGAATGCCGATGTCAAGGAAGAGAGTAACCCCGTCGTGGTGAGCAATGGATACCCCTTCTGGGTCTCGGAGCAGAATGGCAGCCATGCCTTTCCTGCAGCGTCGCCGGTGCCAGCTGACCAGAGGGAGGGTCTGGCCAGAGAACAGCAAGTGCCTACGCCGTCCTACCAGACATATCGGTGAGTCCCCCCTCCTGGTGCTCATGTCCAAAGCCACCCTCTTACCTAACGGGATTCTTCTTCTTCTGCTGGGTATTTCCTAAGAAAAACAGCCAGTGGGAATGAGGAAGGATGCTTTTCTGTTGGACATTGGGTGATAGGTGCTAGATTAGCATGGAGACAGCTCTACAACAAAGCCTTTCTGTGTTCCTTCAACCCCACAGATTCTGGGCATACTTATGTCTTGGTAATGCTCTTTATTTCCCTGTCCTGAAACGCTCTCCCAGCAGCTCTGTGTACTGCAGACCTTGCCTGTCCTTTGGGGGAAGTGTGTTGGAGGAGTGGCAAGATTCCCATAATTTTTTCCCTTCTTCTTACCATTGCAAATTCAAGCAGGAGTTATCATGATCCCAGATTAGAACTGAGCCAGAACTAGGATAGTCTGGGCTTACCTTCTCTGGCATTTAATTTTCCTGTGTGACAACAAGACTTGGACTAAAATCCACACAAACAGTAAGATGAGGCGGTAGGCAGGGGGAAGAGGGCATGCTAAGAGCCTGCCCTGTCTTTCCCTGGGGGATCTGTGTGGGTTTCCAGTGGTTTTCTGCTGCGGTAGGTTTGACTCGCTTTTCTCTCTGCCCTCGGGGCTCAGGTTCCACGAAGCTGGGGACAGCCAGCAGCTTCCCACACGTGATGCCGCTGCCTTGAACGATTTCCGGGCAAGGTGCCACCCCTTGGATCTTGCCACCGTGCCTGAGCATGACTCCAAACAGCTCCCAGAGGGCTTCACCAACCTGCCTCCGCTCCCCCCGCCTCTGCCTCCTCCCCAGGACTACACAGGAGTGGTGAACATGGCTCTAGACTCTGTCGGGAAACCTGGGGCCCGAGCGCCCATGTACAGTCCCTACAGCACCGATCAAGGGCTCGGCCAGTGGATGGTGCCTTCCCACAGCCAGTACAGGGCGATGAGCTACTCAGCCTTCTCCACAGAGTACAATACACAGGGGGCTCCAGGACATCCCCACGGGACCATGGCAGAGTGGAGCCAGTACCCTCTGTTCCCGTATGCCTGCTGGTGAACAGGGGAGACCCTTCCCAATTATAAGACTGAAAGAAAATTGTATATGAGATATTTGCTCTGGAGTGTTGGACTTGAAGTCTTGTCTTCACTAGCCAAAGAGACATGGTAGCATGGGATACCTTCACTTCCTTGTCTCCTTGCACTACCACCCTCACTGTATTTCACAAGCAATGGCTAAACTGGTGGCTGTCCCAGCCTTGTCGGTCTGAGTCTGGCTGAGTCAGTGTTCTGCACTGGTTTTTTATCCCAGCAGGAGTAGGAAACCACAGGGAGCTGCAAAAGCAGTATTTAAAGAGCTGCCGAACTCTCAGTCCCAGCTGTTTGTGTCTCACATTTCGCAGTTTCCAAAATCCTTTCTTCCCAGGACTTGTGTGCAAGGAGACAAAGGCTGAGGAGTTTCACTAAGCTGTCCAGGTGGCCAAGAAGCTGTAGAGAATTATTGCAAAGAGAAACAAACCAAGCAATCCGGGTGCCCCCTTGAGCAGTTTCCTCACTTAGGATAGTCAAACTAAAGCTATTTAGAGTCTTGCCTTTCTTCCAGCAGCATCTGAGAGTAAAATACACAGCAACACCCATGTGTCTGAAGTGCAGTGGTGGCTCACGCAGGCAGGGAAGAGTTTATCCCGTGCAGAAGCAGCAGCAGCAAGGCTGTGTGTTGTGGCTGCATGTCCCCCGTGCCCAACCCTCTTCTGTCACCCCTAGATTTGAGGTTAGTGAAACACGCTCTTCTTTCTGCCAGTGGTGGGGAGAGGTTGTTCACAGAATGTGGGGCACTGCTCTGGGTGCTTCCAAAGGCCTGTGCTTGTCAGAAATACGGCCATGAACCAGTGCTGGCTGCGTCACTGACCTCTTCCTTTCGAGGGAAAGGAAATCTTTCACTTTGAACTTCCTTCTTCCACCCACCGCCTGCCACCCCTGGAGAGTATAATTTATAGTTGTGGTTACTGTGCTAGACTAAGCCAGCGTTGTCGATAGCCAGTTGTCAGCAGCCTGGCATTGCACACAGGGCATGTACTTTAATGAATACCCTGCAGGCCCTGGGCTGCATGCTGCTTTGCTGGTGGGCTCGGCACCTCCCAGCCTGGTCGGCAAAGTCATCTTGACGCTCTTTGGGAATCTGTGGGGTTCTGCTCCCATGTTCAGTTATCAGAGCAGTTTCACCTCCCTCACCTCTGTGAGGTTCTGCCAGCGAGCAGCCTGCGTGCTGCCTTGCAAAGAGGATTTCTTTCTATCTTTGTGTTAGAAAGGGGAAGCATCGCTGTTTGCCCAAGTGACAGAATAGCCTGGTCAATGGGTTCTTGTTTGAGATGGGCTCTTTGCTTCTCAGGGAGGGTAGACATGTTCCTAGGTGTTATTTAGGGATTTTTCTTTTCTTGTAACACTTTAAATAAACTGCTGAGTGGCCTGTAGCCATCAGTAGGCAATGAGGTGTGTCATTTAGCCTGTATGCCAGATGGTTTTCTCTGTGTGTGTGTGCACGTGTGCGTAGCAAGATGTTGTCTGTGAGCAGACCTGGGCGGGTTTGTGACCACCAGTGCTTCAGAACCGGTGTGCAGGTACACGGGGAAAGGCTGTGTGCTTCTCTGTTTGGGTACCGGGTCAGCGCTGTGTGTGTGTCCATAGTGTAGAGGTGTTGAGCTGTGTTTATTATTGTTAAAATGACTTTGAGAAGTATCCCTACAGATTTGTGAAACTCAACTACAATGACTGCTTCCTTATTTAAATAGCATATTGCTAACTGCCTTTGTACCACAATTACGATACATACAGAGCAGCCAAGTACTTCCCCTCGGCTTCACAGGATGGGTGTGAGATGTGTGGCGTTTAAATAAAGGTCAGACTCCACCACAGTTCATGCACAGGATACCCCCTTAGCTTCTCCTCTGAGAGCACCGCGGCCAGTAGCGATTTCTACCTGCTGTGCACGACACGCATGTGGTTGTGAGTGACTCACTCAAAAGAAATCTCTCTGGGGAAAAAAATGTGGAGGAGATTGTTTTTAACCCCAGAATATTGCGATTTCCTGCTGTCCAAATGCCAGCTGCGTGAAGGCAGGTCAGCTGTAAAAGTCCTCTGTGGATGAGAAAAATATTCTGACCTTTTAAGTAGCTGATTTTGCCACCAGTGTTTTCTACATCTGGGAAATCAGATGAGAAGGCTGGCTGAGGAATTCGGTGCCTTGAGCCCCGTGTGCAGAGACCCTGGGGCTGGTACTTTCTGCGAGGTCTCTGCAGCGGCTGCAGCCCCACTGGTACCCAGCCGTGATCGCTGCTGGGGCCACGCTGACGAGAAAAGAGAAAGTAATGCACCCCCTCACAGGCTGCTTGGTCAGAGCTGCTTCTTTATCTTCGAGGTTGTATTTCCCTCTGTCACGGGGTGCTAATGAGGATGAAAACCATGCTGCGGTGAGTATGAGGAACTGAGAATGGGCAGCACAGGGAAACCCCTGTGCAAATATGGGTGTAATATTCTTTTTTGCAAACCTTCAGGATAGCTTTGTGAGTGCCAACGCCCCATGGGCCTGTCAGTAGAGCTGGTTTGGCAGGCGGCTCTGGGCTGGGTAAAGGACTCAGCCTTGTGCCTAGGAAGAGCCATTAATTACTCATCAGCCTTCTGTTGCAGCAGGACTGCTTGCCCTTCAGTGAATCATCCAGCTTACTAGAAAAGCACCTTTACTTGCCTCTCTTGCCTGTCTCTGGTTAGAGACCGCGGCTGACCGGTTTGTGAAGCCTTCGGAAATCTTGCCCCTAGGTGTGTGCTCTGGACTCTGCTGCCACCTCCTCCCTCTGCAGTTCGCAGTGTCTGGTTTTCTTCAGCTGTGGCATTTTATAGTCTCTGTGAGCTCGACTGAAACGCTGGCTTTGCACGCGTGTGAGATAATCTAATGACAGCTTCAATAAAGGGAAATGAGACGTGGGGAAGGCAGGCCATTAGGAGCAATAAAATAAATTCTAAAGTGTGGTTTTCGTGCGTCTTTTTCCAGCACACCAGTGGCTCCACCTTAGCTGTGTTACCTGGGGCCAGTCTGTACACGCATGACACACGCTGTTGATCTCAGCGTTCATTGTTCTGTGCAGCGAATGCAGTGAGCCCCAGGTTATCTGCGTGCATCTCTTGATGTGACTCAGTCCCTTGCACTAATTCTCCACAGCAAATTGTTTGTTTTCTCTGTGTTTTCTGCTCCTCTCCTGCAGAGGAGTTACATAAGGATGAGGGCAAATGGACTATAAATGGGATCTAGGTAAATTTCCTATGGGAAATAAAGATCCTGATTTATTTTGGGTTTTCCTACTGGCTTTTGCAGCCCTAAGCTTTGCCTAACGCTGCTTCAATGCAAATGGGAATGGCAGAAAAATGCTTTGTTGCCAGTGCTGCAGTTCTTCCACAGCCAGCCCTGTTGTGATGAGCAGCCGCAGGCTCAGGAGGGACAGCTGTGATGGTGCTCCCCTGCAGCACTGCAAAGTGCCCACGTCTCCCCAGACCTCACAGAAGATACAGAGAATCCTCCCATGGGAACAGAGTCCCCTCCTGCCTGGCCCAGGATGTGGCCTCTGTGCTCGTACCCACTTGGTCACCTTCTGGCTCTGCAGAAGAATCAACTGGGGCACTCGAATTGCCTTGTAGCTGGACAGCCTGGCTGTGCTGGACTCGTTGCTTCCTTCAGGGTTGACCTGAGTGCCCAGCGTGGGGTGGCTGTCGTTTGGTCCTTGGTGAGCCTCCCAGGAGCCTCCTGCAGTGCCTTTCCTCGTTAGCATATGTACTGGGTCACCTTGATCAGATCCAAGCACCAACCCCCTTCCAGGAATAACAACATTCTCCAAGTCAAATGGGTTTTTTATTGCAGAGCTTAAAAGCCACTTAATTCTCAAGCCCCACATTGGGATCCCATAGGGAGCCTCATGGCAGGGGGGGAACGCATTTGGCTGACAACAACAAACAGCAGCCATCACCTGCCGTGTGTCACCCGCAGTGCGGGGCTGGGCCGGCACAAAGCCAAATACCTCCTGCCAAAGCCAAAAAACTCCTGCCCAGGAGCTGCAGGCAGCTGCCAGCCCCCCCTCCTCACCAGTGGCCAAATGTGCGGGGTGCAGGTGTCTTCACTTACCTGCTTCCCCACCCTCAGCCTGAATTTACTTTGTAAACTGCCAAGAGCAAAGGGAGAGGGAGTAAAACTGCCCAGGGCCAGCTGAGAAGGGAGGACAAAGGGTTTTCCCCAAAGTGTGGGGAGGGGATGGTCTGTCACTCCCCCTGGGGCTGGCTGAGCTCCTGCAGTGCTTGCAGGCACAACTTTGGGGCTCTCTGGGGTGCCTGTTTCTTCCTGTTTTTCTAGGGCTCGACTCTTGGTTCCCCTGGCTGTGAGAAGCAGGCGTGCTCCTGGCCTGGCTCCCAGCAGCTCCAGGTAAGCTGGGTTCCCCACTGTGCTGTGCAGAGATGCAGTAAGGTTTAAATGTGGCTTCTAGACACTGCAGCAAACCTGCACAGGAGAGACCCAGGGAGAGGCAGTGCAGGCTACCTGGGCAAAGGGGGGTAAATCGAGGAAGTGTTTCTCCTCCACAGCCCATGCTCACTGCATGCAGTGTTTGCTGCCCAGGACAAATGCTGAAGTGTTCTTGAGACCAGGGCCTGAGCAGCAGCGCCAGGCAAAAATTTAACCAAGGGTGAAGCAGCCCTTCAGTGCAGGGGTGAGGAGAGGAGCTGCAGCTATGAAGTGTTGCTGCTCAGCTTGATTTCATGGTGTTCCTTTTTTGTTTTTCCATGTTTTATGGCATGAAGCACTTTGCTGTAGGGTGCTGGATGGCAATCTCTGATACTTCTGTAATACTCCATTGTTTTTGTTTGAATGTGCAGGTGTACGACTACAGAGTTCTTGCCCAGACAGCGCCCTGCTTGGTGAGTGTAATGGATGGATTTAATCTCCATCTCCTACAGTTCTTTGAGGACGTGCTGAGATTTTTATTTCTTCCTCTCCTATTTTTACTGAAGAGGGAAAAATTTGTG